TTAGATACTTTGAATTAACGGTATCTGGTTATAATATTATTTCAATTGGAATAATGGGAATTGGTATCTATCCATTTGAGGGATCAAGACACCTTGGATGGGATGAAGGAAGTATTGGATTTCATTCAGACTCTGGTGATTTATTTAATGAAGGAAAAGTAAGTCAATATGCAAATCCATTTGGGTTAAAGGAAGACGAGGCTCATATAGTTGGTTGTGGATTTGATACAATAAAAAAACAAGTATTTTTTACGCTTGATGGTAAAAGACATCATTCAATTAACGTTAATTGGACAGAAATAGCTGCAGGATTTACAGTTACTGATATGGATTGGATTGAAATTAACTATGGACAACGTCCATTTTCATTTGATTTGTATCAATATTGTGAACAATACCAAAAATCATGCACTATTGTTTAATTGAAGTAAATCAGATTATTTTATTAAAAATTCAATTTATTGAATTAAATTAAGATTCAAAACATCATTCTTTTCTCTTTTTCTTTTTTTAGAGAAAGAGTCAAATTCTAAAAATATATAAGAAATAAAAAGAAGATTAAAAAAATTTAAAAAAAAGAAAAAGAAAATTTTAAATAGTAAAAATAATAATAAAAAAACTAATAAAAAATAAGAAAAATGAAAGAACTAAAAAAATAGAAAAAGAATGAAGAAACTGGGAAAAGCTGAGAAGAATAAAACTACGAAAATGTTTAATGATGCATTTGAAAATTCAATAAAAAGTATTGAAAGGATACCTGTTAAAATTAAGAAAAATCAACAACCTATAATTGTTTGTGACACTACACCACCACCCATGACATATCCAATATTTTCAACTGAGAGTATTGCTTATACATCACTTTCAACATATCCATTTAGAGATGGAAAAAAAATAGGAAATCCTATTTGTGATAAAGGAAAAGGAGCATTTTTTGAAGACATGGCAATAGCAGTTTTAGCTGATGGATGTGGATTAGGAAATAATGTTTGTAATGCTTCAAAAGCAGCAGTTAATAAAATTTTAGAAAGTATTATTGATAAAATTGAACAATGTAAAAATACTAAAGAAATTGCTCAATTAATGGTTGAAAGCACATACGAAGGACATTTAGCAATTATTAATGATGGAATTGAATCATTTCAAATAGGTACAGCAACTGTAATAATTAATGTTATTGTATATTCTAATCAAGACGAACCAATTATATTAACATTATCTATTGGTGACTGTCATTCATATAAATATAGTCCAATTCAAATGAAAACAGAACAATTAACAGGAAGTATTAGAACGTCATTAAATGATGTTAGTGATTGTGGTGGTAGAATTGGTCCATTTATTGATCATTTATATCCAGATTTAAGAAATGCAAATATTAAATTAGATAGATGTAATGATGGTGATATTATTATTATTGCTACAGATGGATATCATGATAATTTTGATCCAACATTATTAGATTATAATCCAATTGATATTGGTATTGATGCTAATGATTGGAATGAAGCAAGTAAAACACCATATTTCTTAGAAAAAAAACAAATATGGATTGAACGTCTTATAACTTCAATTTTTAAAACATCAAGTTCAATGTGTCATTTTGTTGAACAACTAGGAGATTATGTTACTGAAACAACACAAACATCAAGAAAATTCGTAGAAAATCATCCTGGAGAAAAATTACCTCCAGACCCTCATAAATTTCCAGGTAAGTTAGATCATAGCACATTATTGGCTTACAAAGTTATTAAAAGAATAGATGCTTTTGAAATTATTAATAGTATTATTCCTAGTTATTCATCTGGATTATTTGGTGGACAATCTATAAGTAGTGCTAAATTACGTGCTTCTAGACCAAAGAAATTATTTGTAAAATTACATAATAGACAAATACAAACACCAAGAGGTGACACTAGTGATCCTACTTCTCTATATTTCTCAGAAAAAACAAGTCCTCATTCAATGAGCCCTATTCACATTTTATCTAAAGAGTCTTTAGTTCCTTTAAATCCTGATGATAAGCCTATTGCAATAAAATTTAATTCTGATCATTCAATTAATCCACAAAAATCAATTAATAGTAGAGGATCAAGTCCAAAACAAGAACACCCTTCTGATTATTAAAAAATAATAATTAATAATTGTACACTTTTCATATAACTTAATTATTCTATTTTTATAATTCTATTTTCAAAGCAATTAAATGAAGTTTAAAATTTAATTCAATACAAAATATTTTAATATGATAATAAAAACAATAAATGTCTATATAAAAATTTAACTTTGAATAATAATATCTAATAGAGTAATTTCTATCGTTTGACCTAATGAAAATTCAATTAATATTTTCTTTTTTAATTTCCTTAATAATGGCTCTAGTGAATTATTATATTGTATTACTTGTATGTTATGATAAAAATTAACACATAGCGTTTTTAAAGTAATAAATTTCTTGTAACAGTATATTGACATAATTTCCTTATACATTCATATTTATCAGTTTTAGAAAAATAAATAAGAAATCAAGAATGGGGCTGTGATGAGAATAATAATTAAATAGAATTTAAAACATATTTTTTCTTGATACAAGAATCTTTATGTTAAATTATTAACACTTATTCTTTTGATGTGTTTTTTTAATTAAAAAAAATAATTGAAATAAATAAAATATAACTTGAATTTATATTCACTTTGATTAATGTTGATTTAAATTAATAACTAAAGAGAAAATAATCGAAAAAAATTTTAAATTAATCATCTAATATTCCATAATTATTATGAGATTTTTTTGATAAAAAGTTACCTAACGATAATCTTCTTTTTCGAGAGATTAACTGGTTTTCTTTATTTTGAGAAAGAGTAGGTATTTTTGGAGTTGGTGATGATGTGTGTTCATGAATGATTGAAACATTTGGCTGTTTTTCTTTTGTTTGAATTGGTGTCGGTGTTATTACTTTAGGTGACTGACTTGGGCATGAAGAATTTTTATTTAATCCTGGTGGTGTTGTTTGAGAAATATTATTTGATAATGTTACAGAAACACTAGCACTTGGTCTCCTTTTTTTGGCAATTTCTACATCAATTATATTTGTTGATGTAATGTACCCAGCATTACTACGTAATAAAGGAATAGGAAGAGGGAAAAAAGATGGTACTGTAAGATAAATAGTAGAGTAATGAGGAATATTTATAATTGCTTCATTATTACTATAAGTAAGGAATGGTTGTTGACCATTTGTTTGAAGTATTTTGTTACGCAAGTCATTGAGTTTTTTTAATGTTGGAGTTACATAGTAATAAGGAAAATGAAGTGTTGAAATATATGCCGGATATTCAAATATTTTAGGTGAGCTTATTGTTTGTGAACTATACACTAACTGCATCTTTACCATTCCACTAAATCCTAATTCACTTCCTTCTGGTTCTCTAAGGAAAAACCATGAACTTATACCTCTGTCAATAGGGAGTAAATTTAAATCAATATCAATATATCCAATATACCTCTTATTGTATTTTACTGTAAATACTACATTATTTTGGGATGAGTCTAATGGTATTTCAATAGTCCCTTCAATATAATTCTTTTTTGTGAGATCTTTTACACAAAATATTGACCTTAATGGAATTCCTCTAGTTTCTTCAATTTTTATTGTTAATAAACCGTTACATTCATTAATAATATGTTGAGGAAGTCGTTCGTTTTTTGGTCTTGGATCATTCCATGAGACACTCTTGAAAGAGTGATTAATAAATACTAATTGATTTTTTGACCAACCAACACTCATGTCTGGAGGTAAACAAGAAGTTTGGTAATCAAGGAAATTTGAGTTACGTTGTTCAATATGGTTAATGTCAATGACTTGGTTATCTATAGTATAAATAGTCTCTATTCCCTTTGGACATAAAGAGTCATATTTTGGTGGTAATCCATAAGGAACTTCATCAAATGAACAAGGGCTTAAAGTATCAATTTTAATAGACTTAATATATTCATCAACATTTCTTGAATTTGGAGTACGAGCAAATACAGCAATTGGTAAAACAATCCTTTTAATTTTCTTTAAAACTTTTCCAGAATTAAATTCTAAAATAATAGCATTATGTATACATAATGGAGAATCAGTAACATCTGGTGGTGTAGTCATTGGGATATTAATTTTATAAGTGAATGTAGAAGTACCAATAGGAATATTATATACTAATGTAGAACTATTAATTTCATGTGACAAAGTTTTATTAGAAGTATTCATAACAATAGTAGCAAAATGAAGAACAGCCTTTTCAATTGATTGTTTTCCTCTGTTAGTAATTGAAAATTTACCAGTCAATTCATCACCTTGATAACCACAACCAGTATCACATAAAATATCTAAAACATATTTGTTATATTCTTTTTTTGTATAACAACTTTCTAATAATGATTGAGGTAGTTCAATGTTGTTATATAATAATGGGACGATTGTTGGTTTTCCATGTACTCTTCTTCCTTTTAATAATACAACTGTTGGATATAATTCATAACAAATACCTACACCATTTGACATTAATGATGTAATATGAAAATTTTCATTAGTATTAATAGAAAAAGCATATTTAAATGTCCCCGGACACATTTCAGTAATACGGTCTTCAGTTACATAATGATTAAAAATAACTTCAAATTCTTCAGAGTGTATTATTTTCCTTTCAATTCCAGTCCACATTTTTTCATTTGGTTCATCATCAATTAATACAGACCCAACTCCGCCTAATGGTGTAATACCAAAATAATGAACTGAAGATAAACAGACTAATATATTTTTTATAAATATTGGTTTATTAAATGTTAATGTAATATATCCTTCAATTCTTTCTTTTATAGTAGTTCCATTAGTAAAGACAATATCACTAAAAGTGATTCCATCTGAAGTCGATATCATTAACTATATTTTCTAAGTTAATTTCTTTATTTCTTTATACTTGTTCATAATAATTATCTTCTTCAATTCTTTCTGTTTTTAGGTTTTCTTTCAAAAAAATCTTTTAGAATTTTTTATATTTTTCTTTTTTTGATTTCTTTTGATGAATTAAAATATAAAAAATTAAACACTGGCAACACATTAGAAGAGGAACCTTCTAATGCGAGTATGTTAGAAGTGAACTCTATTGTAGAAATAGAGCATATTGAAGAAACTGAAACAATCACTTCTCAATATGAAGAAAATCCAATTGTGGATATATCTATTAATTGATATTTTTTTTAAGAATTAAAATATAAAAAATTAATACTTTTTATTTTGAATTTCATTGCCTAATGAAAACACTTTTATTATTTATACTGATTATTCAGTAATACTACCAACAACTTCTTCATTTTGGAGTAAAAGTAATAATTAAATAACGTATTATAGTTTAAATATAATAACTATAATTCATAATATTAACAGAAGAAGCAAATCCATTCCAGTTTGTTATGTTTAATTATCTAAAAAAAAAAACCATGAAAAATCGGGAAAAAATACTAAAATAAAATCCAAAAAAACTAAAAAAAATAAAAAGGAAGTTTGAATTTCGGAATGAATCCGTTTAATAATTTTGATGAAATTGATTTTCGTAATGCCCAATTACCAGAAGCAATTAATGGTCAAACGATTGAATTATTAAAAAGCAAAAAAGAAATAAAACCAGTTGTTCAAAGCCCAAATCAACAGAAACGAGATATAAACACACTTGCCAAACAAAAAGGGATGACAGAAGAATGTCAACGAATGGCGTTTTTAATTGGACTATTAAATTACCGAGGAGTTGGACTTATTATAGCAAGAAGATCTAAAAAAGCTGAAAAAGCATTACAATATATTGAGGTTGTAGGTCTTTTTGGAATTATAGAAGTAAGTCATAAACAATTACTTGAAAGAGTACAAAAAGAAGAAACAGAATATTCAAGGTTAAATATAAGAAGTTATAATGAAAGGTACCATCGAAAAAATATATTTGCTGTGACATATAATTATTTATTACAACTTGCTATTCGTTTATATGATGGAAGTCTTCAATTTGAAATAAAAAAGACTAAATCTACAAAAGTAACAATTAAAATGAAAAAATTTATTTCAGTTACTTTAAAAAACAAAAATTATTCTTCTCAAGAAATACTAATTATTGGAGATAGAATTTATAAAATCATTTCAGAGTTAATGAATTCCTCTTCAATCCAAAATACCACTTCAAAAGTTTTTAAAATTGAACCTAAATTTATTCCTTTTCAATATGAAATGTTTATTGGTTCATCTAGTTTATTTCAAAACTCTTCAAAATATTGGCTTTATGATGAAGTTGTAGAATATGAATTGTCTCATCATGAAAACTCTATTTCTTCATTCTCAGGTCATTCAATTCCATCTACCTTAAGAAGTACTCAATCAGTCACTCCTCAACCGAATAAAAATAATACAAAATCTTGTTCAGTTGTTCCAAGTTCAATTAATAAAAACGTTCACTATCACTTAGTCTGTTACAAA